ATGTAAAAATCCTCTAAGCTAGTCACACCTTAGATAAAATTACTGCAGATTATTTGAAGGCAGGCTTGACTTCACCTTTAATTGAAAGTGATTTCTGGCAGTGAGCCTCCTTACTTCTAATAAGGTTCATCTCCTTTCCAACCTTAAGAAAGTCTGGGTTGCTCTTATTAAAGTTTTATATAATAAAACTTGCCCAACTGAAAAAAGAGAGGGGGAAAAACAACTCAGATTTTTTTTTCTCTTGTGTTAGTTAGTAACCAATGAAAACTGTATGCATTGCATAGCTCCAGGAGAGGCAGACAAAGAGAGAGTGCTTACACAGTGCTTCGGACAAAGTACACATTCTCTTCCTCAAAAGGTGTTGTGATCACCAGAGCAAATCATGTATAAAGGAAGAGACCCAATAAGTGTGTGACATTCATATATACTTCTTGCCTAGAAACACACCTGTTCTCAAACTTTTATCCAGAAAACACCTCTGTCACACTCTTACGAAGTGCATGATATAACTAAAACTAAGCAGCTATATATATCTTACCAAACAAAATCTAAATCAAACATACTAACCTAACACATACCTGCACTAACATATGCATACTAAACACACAACTACAGAAACAATTCTATGAACCTCACTCATTGCTGATTTTACCCTTGTCTTACTCCCTTTAGGCAATACTATATAACCACACTCCTACTTTTTAAAAAATATATCAAATTAATCCATCCAACAATTGAAATTTGACCCAAAGTTGCTACGCAAAGGTAATAAACAAGTCTCAAACTATCTTAAGAGTCCATCATGAAACACTGAGTCATACCAGTTAAAAGTGGTGTCAAAACCTTTTATTCTACAGTTCTGGGGACTATAATTCAAGAAGGATATTGACAGACTAGACCAGTGGTTCCCAACCTGTAGGTGTTTTGGCCTACAACTCCCAGAAATCCCAGCCAGTTTACCAGCTGTTATGATTTCTGGGAGTTGAAGGCCAAAACATTTGGGGACCCACAGGTTGAGAACCACTGGACTTGACCATGTGCAGAGAAGGGTGAGCAAAATGATAAAAAGTTTGTTGTGTAGCTGCTGCTGTCTGAAGCTAGCTTGGAACTGTATTAAATGGTCAATGTAGATGGGGCCTCAGATTTAATGTGAAGTCCTCAGTTCTTCTACCAGGTTGTAGTTCCAAGTCAGTCCTGTTGGTTTGATAGATGTCCACACCACTCTCAGTTGGGGCAATAAGAGTGGAGATCAAGAACCGAATGGTATTGATCATAGAATCAGAAGAGACCACGAGACACCCATACAGAACAAAAAATCAAAGCACACTCCACCAACAGATGGCAATCAAGCCTCTGCTTAAAAATCTCCAGACAAGGAGATTCTATTACCTTGCAAGGCAGTATATTTCACTGCCAAACAGCTCTTACCATCAGGAAGTTCTTTCTAAAATATAGGTGGAATCTCTTTTCCTGGAATTTGAATCAGTTGTCTTAGTGTCCAAAGTACTATGTCCTAGTCTCCAAAGCAGCAAACTGATTTGTAACCCTTTTGGTACTAAAGTTGGAGAGTGGTCCCTGGTCAAAAAGAGGTTGGGAAACACTGATCTAAGTCATTAATAAAAATGTTGAACAGCACTGAGCCCACAAGTCACTTTTTCCAGGATGAATAGGAACCATTGGTGAGCACCCTTTGGCTTCGGCCAGTTAACTAATTCCCAATCCACTAAGCAGAAGCATTGCCTAGCCCACATTTTACTATCTTTGTGAGAATGTCATGCAGGGACATTCTCCATTCAGTCAAAGGTCTGACTGAAATCAAGATATGCTACATCCACAGCATTCCTTTTATCTACAAAGCTTGCAACTCTCTCAAAAAGAGAGGTAAGATTTTGTTTATATTTCCTATTTTGTTATTCAGGATCAGGGATGCTCAAGCTGTACAAATACCCCAGGCAGGGTCACTCTAAGGCCCCATCTACACTGCCATATAATGCAGCTTAATTGCACTGAACTGGATGACAAATTTCTATTATTATATTATTTTATTCATTTATACCCTGCCTTACCTCTTCAAAGGGAACTCAAAGCAGCTACACTGCGTTATACAGGCAGTGCCCAAGTTATGAACAAGACAGATTCTGCAGGTTTGTTCTTTAGATGAATTTGTATGTTTCCGTCAGAACAGAAACATTTTTAAAGTGTAAGAAGGTAAACGTTTCCCCTTGACATTAAGTCTAGTCGTGTCCTACTCTGAGGGGTGGGGGCTCATCTCAATTTCTAAGACAAAGAGCCGGCATTGTCCGTAGATACCTCCAAGTTCATATGGAGGTAATAATGGCGCTCTGAGTGTTACGGAGATGTTGCATTAGCTAATGTAAGCCAGGCCACAGACAGATAATATAGAAGGAATGTAAGAGTTCTTTAATGGTGAAACCCTAACACTTACTCTGAACCTGAACCGTACCGTCAGCCTAAGCCTAGCCCCTTACCCAAACCCTAAACCGTACCCTAACTGTAACCCTAACCCAAACTCTAAACCTAACCTAAGCATCCCCTCCTTTTTGTCCTTCCTTCGCTTCCCTCCGCCCTGCTCTCACTCCGCCCCCTCTCTTCCCTTATTCACAGCCGCCTTTACAGCATCTCCATAACGCTCAGAGCTTCTGGTCCCAACTATCATACTATCACCAAAGGTGTCTCCATTGAAGCTTATCACCAAATCCTTGTTTTCACAACAAGCCATTTTTTTTTCAAAATCCCATTCTCATCGGAACAGATAGTGAGGTAAATCTGAACTGACAGCAAAAGAAACACCACAGGGGTGTTAACCCTTCCTTATGCTATCAAAAGCTATAATATCTATCTATCTATCCATCTATCTATCTATATTGGATGGAGCTACACTTTAAAATGTACTTTGTCCGACTTAAACATACACATTCAGATCAAACCTACAGAATCTATCTTGTTCGTAACTTGGGAACAGTCTGTATATGGCAGTGTAGCTGCTTTAAGTCCCCTTTGGGGACTAAAAGTAAAGGTTTCCCTTTGATATGAAGTCTAGTCATGTTCGACTCTGGGGGGTGGAGCTCATCTCCATTTCTAAGTCAGCGTTATCTGCAGACACCTCCAAGGTTATTATTATTTAAAATTTAAAACTTTTATATTCCGATCTTCTCAACCTCCGTAGAGGGACTCAGACTGGCTTATGTGGCCTGCATGCTGACATGGAGTGCCGTTACCTTCCCGCCAGAGTGGTACCTATTGATCTACTCATTTGCAATTTTTTGAACTGTTAGGTTGGTAGAAGCTGGGGCTAACAGCGGGAGTTCCCCATTCCTCAGATTTCGACTGCTGACCTTTCGGTCAGCAATTTCAACAGCTCCACTGCACCACCAGGAGCTCCTCATCCTCCTTGGGACAGATAGTGAGATGAAATCTGGACTAGGATACAGACAGCAAAAAAAAAAAAAAAAAAAAACACCATAGGGTGTTAACCATTCCTTATATCTATATAAATAAAAAATTTAATGTTCGTTTGTGGGATTAACATAACTCAAAAACCACTGGACGAATTGACACTAAATTTGGACACAAGACACCTAACTACCCAATGTATGTCCTTCACTCAAAAAAATGATTTTGTCATTTGGGAGTTGTAGTTGCTGGGATTTAGAGTTCACCTATAATCAAAGAGCATTCTGAACTCTACCAACAATGGAATTGAACCAAACTTGGCACGCAGAACTCCCTTGATCACTAGCAAAATACTGGAAGGGCACTGACCTTGAATTTTGAAATTGTAGTTCACCTACATCTAGAGAGCACTGTGGACTCAAACAATGATGGATCTGGACCAAACTTGGCACGAATACTCAACATGCCCAAATATAAACACAGATCGAGTTTGGGGGAAATAGACCTTGACATTTGGAGTTGTAGTTACTGGGATTTATAGTTCACCTACAATCAAAGAGCATTCTGAACCCCACTAATGACAGAATTGGGACAAACCTCCCACACAGAACCCCCATGACCAACAGAAAATACTTAAGGCCATCCAGTCCAACTCCCTTCACCAAGGCAAGAAAACATAATCAAAGCCCTCCTGACAAAGAGCCATCCAGCCATAGATATAGAGAGATATATATGAATCACACGCACACAGATATAGTATCATATATTTGAAAGGGACCCCTAAAGAAGGACAATGATATGTTGCATATTCCAGAGAAGGCAAACCAGGCACTCTCCACATCAGTGGTTCTCAACCTGGGGTCCCCAGATGTTTTTGGCCTTCAACTCCCAGAAATCCTAACTGCTGGTAAACTGGCTGGGATTTCTTGGAGTTGAAGGCTAAAACATCTGGGGAGTAGTCAAACCAGTCAATCTCTACATCAACACTGACAAGAAACAACAAGAAATACTGTTTACCCACAAGCATAAAGAAATTACATAGATTAGAAACCATTACTTTATTTTCCAGATCACCAGACTGGGCCACAGCAAAGCGTGGCAGGGATCGGCTTGTGTGTGTGTGTGTATATATATATATTTGAGTTATATATAAACTATATAAATGGTGGCGCAGTGGGTTAAACTGCAGAGCTGTTGAACTTGCTGACCGAAAGGTTTGAATCCAGGGAGCGGGGTGTCAACCTAGCTTCTGTCAACCTAGCAGTTTGAAAACATGCCAATGTGAGTAGATCAGTAGGTACTGCCTTGGCGGGAAGATAATGGCGCTCCAGGCAGTCTTAAGCGGCTGAGGGGGGAAAGGAAGGGGCCTGGGGCTGTGAGGAATGGTGGGAGTTGAAGTCCCAAACCCCTGGAGGGCCCAAGTTTGCCCCGCCGGCTGTAACAGCATGAGATGGCGGTGTGGATGGGGCTGGCGCTCCTTCTCCATCTCTCTCTCCCTCTCTCCCCGGGGGCCCCTCGCCACGCCCCCTCCTCTCTCCCGAGTGCCCCATTCTGTCCGCCATTCCTCCCTGCTCTTCCTCACCCACCTCTTCCTCGCTCTCGTTGCGGAAGCAGAGGCAAGCGGCCCGCTTCTTGTACCCGTCGCCGTCATAGGTGCGCGTCTGGTTGGACTTGAGCTTCATCATCCTCCACGGTGAGGGGAGCAGGGGGCCAGGCCCACCCACCCGAAAGGAGGAAGGCAGGCAGGCAGGGCGTGGGCTCCGCGGCGGGGAAAGGCCTCTCTCCCTCCCTCCCTCCCTCCCTCCCTCCCTCGGCGCCTGGCCTCCCCCTTCAGATGCCGCTGGCCGCCCGCCGCCGCCGCAGCTCCTCCCGCGCCGCCACAGCCCCCCCCGCCAGCGCCCCGGACACCGACGACGACTCTCGCGACGCCATCTTGAGGCACGCTACGCCGGCAGCGCAAGAGGCGGCGGGGGGAGAATGGCGCCGGCTCGCGCAAGGCGCGTTGGAGAATCGCTCGGCCCGTTCTCCTGTCGTCCCAGCCCTTACGCTCCCTCCGTAAAGCCGGCTCGCTCGCGGAACGCCAATGGCGTACCGAGCAAAGGGAACAATGCCCGTCTTGTGAGGAGCCAGCGCCACGCCAAAAGCGTAGCGGAGGAGGGAGGCGGGGAGAAGGGGAGGCTTCGGATAGGCTGGGAAAGAAGGGAGGCTCCTCTCTGGCTCTTGTGTGGCTGGCGGGGGAGGGCGGGCCAGCTCACGCCAGGCGGCAGCAAGGAAAGACGGGTGTACTTCGCCCCTTCACGTTCCCCTCGTCTTGGGTGGAACACATCACTCCAGTGGCTGGGGGAACCCTTCGTTGGGAGGTGTTAGCTGGCCCTGATTGTTTCCTGTCTGGCATTCCCCTGTTTTCTGAGTGTTGTTCTTTAATTACTCTCCTGTCTTTGGAGTTTTTTAAATACTGGTAGCCAGATTTTGTTCATTTTCATGATTTCCTCCTTTTTGTTGAATTTGCCCACATCCTTATGGTTTTCAGTGGCTTTTTTGTGTTCCACTCCCACTGTGGCTCTTCCACAAATAACACTTGAGGGGCCCTGATCCTGAAATGCTGGGGGTCGGAATTGTGGGATTTCGGGGTACCTGGCTTTGCATATATGCCCATAATGAAATAGTTTTGGAAGTGGGACCCAACTCTAAACACATTTCTTTCTGGATTGCTGTGAGTTTTCCGGGCTGTCTGGCCATGTTCCTGAAGCATTCTCTCTTGACGTTTCGCCTGCATCTATGGCAAGCATCCTCAGAGATGGGTTTCTTGGAAACTAAGCAAGGGAGTATTGTTGAAGGCTTTCATGGCCGGAATCACTGGGTTGCTGTGAGTTCTCTGGGCTATATGGCCATGTTCCTGAAGCATTCTCTCCTGACATTTCGCCTGCATCTATGGCAGGCATCCTCAGAGATGGAAGGGTCTCTTAGAAACTAAGAAGGGAGTATTGTTGAAGGCTTTCATGGCCGGAATCACTGGGTTGCTGTGAGTTCTCTGGGCTGTATGACCATGTTCCTGAAGCATTCTCTCCTGACATTTCGCCTGCATCTATGGCAGGCATCCTCAGAGGTAGAGGGAAACTAAGCTTTCTTGATGGTGGCCCCTCGACTCTGGAACTCACTCCCCAAGGACATCAGGCATGTCCCAACCCTGGCAGTCTTTAGGATGAGCCTGAAAACGTGGTTGTTCCAGTGTGCCTTCCCAGAATAAGGAAACTCCCAGCAATATGTCCTTGAAATGCACTTTACTATTGATCTAGGAATGTCTGCACACCCCATCCCTCTCTGAAAACTCTATCCTAGTTCATATTTCATCTGTTCATGCTCAGCATTATTCTTAAATTTTAATTATTACATTTGGCCCAGCCATAGGTTTTAAACGACATTGTGTTACTGCTATTGTTTATTTTTTGTTGTGAGTTTTATTTTATCGCCTGTATTAATTGTTGTTATTGCTTTACCATTGATGTATTGTGGGCTCAGCCTCATGTAAGCTACACCGAATCCCTCGGGAGATGGTAGCGGAGTATAAATAAAGTTGTTTATTATTATTATTTTATTATTATTAGCAAGGGAGTATTGTTGGAGGCTTTCATGGCTGGATGCACTGAGTTGCTGTGAGTTTTTTGGGGTGTATGGCCATGTTCCAGAAGCATTCCCTCCTGACATTTCGCCCACATCTATGGCAGGCATCCTCTGCCATAGATGAAGGGCAAACGTCAGGAGAGAATGCTTCTGGAACATGACAATACAACCCGAAAAACTTACAGCAACTAAGCAAGTGAGGATTATGTATCTGTGGAAGGTCCAGAGTGGGGGAAAGGCCTCATGTCTGTTTGAGGCAAGTGTGGTGACTCAGAGTGGCATACAGAACCGGCACAATTAGATGACACACACACACATACATACATATCTCAGTTAAAAGCAATTAAATTACATCATAAATACATATAAAAACCATAGAAGCAATAAAAACTATATAAATCTATGAAACCAATGTCTTCTGGTTCAAATTCCTCATTTGAATGAAGCTTTAAAGACTGCTTCCTGCCTGGGGGAATCCTTTATTGGGAGGTGTTAGCTGGCCCTGATTGTTTCCTGTCCGGAATTCCCCTATTTTCTGAGTGTTGTTCTTTATTTACTGTTATGATTTTAGAGTTTTTAAAATACTCTAGCCATATTTTGTTCATTTTCATGATTTCCTTCTTTCTGTTGAAATTGTCCACTTTCTGTTGAAATTAACCTCACAACCTCTGAGGATGCTTGCCACAGATGCAGGCGAAACGTCAGGAGAGAATGCTTCTAGAACATGGCCATATAGCCCGAAAAACCTACAACCTAGCGATTTTCGCCATGAAAGCCTTCGACAATACATTGCTTCAGCTGTGCTTTATAAAAAGGAAAACCAGCCTGTCTTGCAAGCCTTGCAAATGCTGATTTGTTATCGTAAATGTTTGATTTCTATACCTATATGTCTGGGGTCACATGATAATTTCTCAGGCCAAGAGGGGTCGCAGGAGGAAAAGCTTAAGAAGTCCTGTGCTAGAGTGTCTCCCTCCAGCCCTTCTAGCCTTCTTCCATTTTTTATCTCTCCCTGAGGTTGTACTTCTATATACTTCCCTCTTGTGGTTGCATCTGAACATTGCATGTATACATTACATATTTATTCGGTTTTGGGCCCTTAAAGTCCAAAGGGATAGATTTTCATTGTTGAAGCTCCACTAGTATTTTAAGTTTGATAATGAAAGATATGTGTACCATGTTTGGTCCAGGACCATCAAGCCATTTAGGAGCCTTTGTAGAACATACATACATATTTTCACTTTTATATATATATAGTGAAGCAAAGTTTGCATACATCAGAAGACGAAGGTATCACTATCTCAGCCACCCTTGTGAACAATTGCAGATTTTTTAGTATTTCAGATTTCCAAATGCTCAATCTGTATTCTTTGTGGGTCATTTGTTTACTATTTATCTATTTTACCCTGACTTTCTCCTCATATAGGGACTTGATGTGGTGAACGATAAATATAAAGCATGGCTAATAAAAACAATGCAAAAGCATTAAAATACAGTGTGAAATGTAAAAAAAAGTAGGCCAACAATTCGTGATGTTAGATAACTAAACATTAAAAATATCAAAAAGTTTGAAAACTTTACCTTATGGTACAAAAGCCAAGTCACCTAAAAGAAACCAGCACTTGCCAATTGCATAAGTATTCTGTCCTCTTTGCTATGGCAAACCTCAGTAAGCTCTGGTGCAACCCTCTGCCTCCAGAAATCATATAAGTAGTTGAATGGAGTCCATCTGTTGCAGTTCCAGCACCACATGATCTCGGATTAAAGATATCTGTTTCTGAAATGTCCCAGCATTTGCTGAAGAGCATGTATAAACAAATAGCAGCATGAAGACCAAGAAGCGATCAAAATAAGCCTGTGCAGAGGCACCAGACTTGGAACCTTAAAAAAAAAAACCCAAATCACAGAACACCCCGGAGTGCTGTTAAATCCATCATTACAAAATGGAAAGGATATGGTTCAATCGCTCTGTCTAGAGAATGCGGTCCACCAAAAATCTATAACCGAGTAAAGAAGACCTTTATCACAGAAGCAACCAAGAGACAAATGGTAGCCCTAAAGGCGCTAGGGAGAGCTGTGGCTCAGATGAAGATAAATGTTGTGACAGCTGACAGTTATCCCCTTGGCACTCCACAACACTGGGCATTATAAAAGAGTGGCAAGGGAGAAAACAATTCTGAAAACAAATCCATATCAAAGCCTGTTTGGACATTACAAAAAAGCATGTGGGAGATGCAACAAACAGATGGAAACAAGTTCTTTGGTCTGATGAAGTCAAAACTAAACTTGTAGGCCTTGCCACACAACATTATGTGTGGCACAATCACAAGGAAATCAATGGTATTCTTCACATTATTTGGAAGGCTGATGGCACATGGCCTGATAGCTAAGATCATATATCCTAATATCCATGCAGTCTGGGTTTTAATGCTTGAGATAATAGGTCTTGCAACCTTGCCTCATTTGTGTATTTTGAGTAGTAAGTAGGAGATGCTCAGTTTAGACTCTTGGAGTATAATGTATCTAGCATTTTCAAATAAAACCAAAAGCAATAGAAAATGTCAGCCTCCGGTTTAACATACAGGACATTTCAAAAAGACGGGCCCTATTTGAAATAGTTGTATCTCTGCAACCATGTGCCACCCATGAATTAAACTCTTACCATTTGAAAGGGTGGGGCACTGAGTTTTACCTAATTAACCTTAGATGCATCTTCCAGTGCACAAACAGCCCCTGGTCTCAGTGATTCACAAGATGACAACCACACAACGTAAGGCTTAATGAGATACTCTCCATTTGCAGAATTATTTAGTAGATTTGTTTCTGGCTCAAAATGGTTAGTAAAACAGGATAACTCATGAAACATTTGTAACTTTTTTTGTAATTGTAACATGATGCATATACTGCTTTGAAATTGGGTCCATTGTTTTGAAGCATCCTATATTTATAGCATCTTATTTTTTTCCAGAAGTAACAGCATACTTTCACGACCAACAGCCATATTCTCCAAAGATCAGTGTGTCTCAAGACATCTGATGTGAGGATAATGTGCCAGGAACAAGTACCATATTTATTATCATTAACTACAACTGTTTCTCTCCCCCCCCCCCCCCCCCCCCCCCCCCAAGAAGCTCACCAGGTACTGTCAACTGATGATTTGTGGACTGGCACAAGTCCATGAACCACCACTTTAAGTAGTACTGCTCTAAATGAGTCCTTCTGTACATATTAAGACTTGTAGAACAAAAACTGAACTTTAATTGTTTTAGGCATCTGAAATTTTCAGTTATGACTTCACAACATGTGACATTGCCAGAACATATTATATACAGATCTACAGAGTGCAGCTAAAACATTTATGTCAGATTTTAAGCACCTGGTTTTTTTCATGTCAGAAGGGACAAGAGAAACTGCAAATCGCTTGTGGTGTGGGAGAATTGCCCGTCTGCAAGGACTTTGCCCAAGGGATGCCCGGATGTTTTTACCATCCTGCAGGAGGCTTCTCTCATGTCCCCACATGGGAAGCTGAAGCTGACAGACGGGAGCTCACCCTATCTTGCAGATTCAAACTGCTGACCTTCAGGTCAGCAGTTTAGCTGGAACAAGGGTTTAACCCATTGCGCCACCATGGCTCCTTAGGCACCAGTGATGAATACAGGAGAGATTAAAATTGTGGTTGCTGGTGGTTGAGTTTTTTGCACTGTTGAAGTACAATTTTTTCTGTAAAGTATTTTTCATATTATTTACTATACGTGGTACGCATCCATCCTTTGGGTGACATAGCTGAAGGGCTACTTCTGATAGACCAGTTAATGCTTCTGTTAATGAAAACTGCATTGTAGTTTTCTTTTGCATCCTCTCCTTTTTTTTGTTCTCGAGTATAATTTTGGAACAGGTGGTCTCACACATTTCCTGAAGCAATAACGCTCAAGGCCCTCTAACGCCCTCTTAGTAGTCTCTCTTTCACAGTGGAACAACTATACCTGGTTGGCAAACCTTAAATATAGATGTAGGAAATGATTTCCTTAATATCAGTGCCAGCAAAGTGGCAGTTTTGTCCAGGGAGAATTGCAGGCAGCTATTCAAATTGATTATTTATTAGCATTAGTACCTCAACTTTCCCCTAAAACTGAGACTCAAGGCATCACACAATTTTAAAAGAATACAAGTTAAAAACACACAAAAAAATAAACATGAATATGGAATGACACTAATCATAGTATTAAGATAATTCAGAACTATGCTTAATAAAATACAATTTTAAAGATGAAAACTATTAAAAACAATTGAGCTAAAAATAGACCTTTAGCCTACTCTTTCAAAACTGTCTGATTTAAAAGTGCCAAAATATAAAAGGATTTTCCCTATCAAATGGAAAGGTGAGAGTACCATTCTTGCTTTCCTCTGAAGGATTTCTGAATCTAGGGGCAGCCACTATCTTGCATCCCAACAACTGTGATGGATGGTATGTTTTGTTTGTTTTTTTTATGTCAGGAGTGAATTGAGAATCTGCAAGTAGCTTCTGGCGTGAGAGAATTGGCCATCTGCAAGGATGTTGCCCAGGGGATGCCTGGATGTTTTACCACCCTGTGGGTGGCTTATCTCATGTCCCCGCATGAGAAGCTGGAGCTGACAGATGGGTGTTCACCCCGCTCCCCGGATTCAAACCACCGATCCTTCAATCAGCAGTCCTGCCAGCACAAGGGTTTAACCCATTGCGCCACAAACAAAACGCACCATAAATGGTAGTAAAACAGAGAAGGATCTCTCTCAGAGCCCAGGTAGGCACATACAGGGAGATACGAGCTCCCAGATAGCCTAGATGTGAGCTATATAGCGGTTCATATATCATAGCCAGGACTTTTATTTTTGCAAAGGAACAAACTGGCACCAGTGGAACTATTATTAACAGGGAAATCGTATGGTCATTTTAATTTCTCTGGTTAATATGATTGCAGCTCTTTCTATTAGTTGAACTTTGCAGTTTCTTAAAAAGAAAGCCCATGTAGAGCTTGTTGCAGTTATTTCAAACAGAATGTAACTAAGGTCTGGCCAGATCCTGTGTCTCAAGGAATGGGGACCGTTGTGCAAAATGCTCTTGGTCTCTGCAGAAATATGGGCTTCCAGGTTCAAAGCCGAGTCCAGGAGTATTCCCAAATTTTCAAGCTTTAAGGAGTGTAACCCCTATCTAACACAAGCTATTGCCTGATCTGCCTTTTGACTGATGCAGTGTTTCTCAACCTGGGGTCCCCAGATGTTTTTGGCCTTCAACTCCCAGAAATCCTAACAGTTGGTAAACTGGCTGGGATTTCTGGGAGTTGTAGGCCAAAAACATCTGGGGACTCCAGGTTGGGAAACACTGGGGGGCACCTCTGTCATGTCTGGATTAAGTTCCAATATGCTTGCCCTCATCCAGTCCATTACTTGATGACAAGAGGCTGCTTTAGAATTGAGAAAGCATCTTTAAATTGAGGTGGAAGAGTAATAAAGCTGGGTGTCATCCACATATTGACGACCCAAATGGATGACCTGTGCCAGCAATTTCATGTTATTTATGTATGTGTGTTCAAGGCATGGGTGAAAAAAGGAGTCCTGAGGGACTCCACAGGCCAAGGCCTATGGCATTAAACAAGAGTCCTCATCTATCACCTTTGGATTGCTCTTCCTTGGAAGGAACAGAGCCACCACAAAACTGTGCCTCCAAGTCCCATCCAATGAGGCAGTGCAGAAGCGTATTGTGGTTGATGTTATCAAAGGTTGTTGAAAAGTTCAGCAGAACTAACAGAAACACTCTTGCCCAATTCTCAGCATAGGCCATCCTCCATGGTCTATGCTTAGAAGGAGCCCCTGGTGGCGCAGTGGGTTAAACCCCTGTGCCGGCAGGACTGAAGACCGACAGGTCACAGTTTCAAATCCGGGGAGAGGCGGATGACCTCCCTCTATCAGCTCCAGCTCCTCATGTGGGGACATGAGAGAAGCCTCCCACACGGATGATAAAAACATGAAATCATCTGGGCGTCCCCTAGGCAACGTCCTTGCAGACAGCCAATTCTCTCACACCAGAAGCAACTTGCAGTCTCTCAAGTCACTCCTGGCATGACAAAAAAATCCTTCATAGTGATTTAAGCAATCTCTGGGCACATTTACACTGTATAATTAATGCAGTTTGACACCACTTTAAATGCTACAACCCAATGGAATTGTGAGAATTGTAGTTTTACAAGGTCTTTGGCTTTCTCTGCCAAGAATGCTAGATCACCCTAGGTTCTACAACCAGATTGAAATGGTCTCAGAAAATATATGCTTTCTTTTGGCATGTGCCTTCTCTGCTCAAAAGAACCCCTTTTCAGATTCAAGTGTTGATCTGGTCCTTTTTCACCACTGTGCTTCAAGGCCTGCCATCACTAGCATATTGTGCTTTGTCCATATTGATTCAGTAGATGCATTCCCTGAAGACACAAAGGAACCTGTGGAATTTAGTAAGCACCCAGCCTCCTTTTGGTCTTAGCAAGTGCAGGACTATCGTAGATGTCAGAACAAAGAAAAAAATGCCCTCAAGACATCCATCTGACTAGCTGGTGCTACAAAATATGCACTTGGAATTTAAGCATGTGTTTCCACATTTAAGAAGCCTGAAAAGCAGTTACAGCTAAATTTCTATCTATTCCAATTGAGTTATAAGCCTAAGCAACAGCCTGAGTACAAAATTCAGAAAAATACCAGTATTACACCATGCTTGGCAACTGATAAGTTTGCACTTCTTGCTACTACCTGTTGACCTAAATTTGAATGGTAATTCAATAGTTATATTAGAAAACATTAATAGGATGCATAAGTTATAGGATGCATAAGCAGAGTCTTATAGTCACCAGTTACAAAAAGGTTATTTCAAACATGGCTCAATAGAATACCAAAATCCTGTTCTCTAACGACTAAAAATTATAAACAGGCCTCAACAGGATTAGAAACATGCTATATTTTTCCTCTTAAAAGCTTGTGTGTGTGTGTCAGGAGCAATTTGAGAATGCGAGTCATTTCTGGTGTGAAAGAACTGGCTGTCTGCAAGTACATTGCCCAGGGGACGCCTGGATGTTTTACCATTCTGTGGGAGCATGAGAAGCTGGAGCTGACTAATGGGAGCTCACCTCGCTCCCCTGATTCGAACTGCCAATCTTTTGGTCAGCAATCCTACCGGCACAAGGGTTTAACCCATTACATCACAGGGGGCTCCTCTCTTGAAGTGAATTCATAAGAGTTCAGCAAATTGATTTCTGTACCAAGTACTCACTGCACCAGCAATATATTTATGTTCCATACCTCCCACCACGTGGGCTAAAAATACAGTCTTCACCTATTTAATACCAAGAAAACCTCTAAACTTCAAAAAGCACCGTGTAATAATGATTTTTTGTAATGTATCAGTTTAACATACAACCCACCCACCTCCCACACTTCTCTCTGTATCAATTAACACAGGCCTCTCTCAAAATATATGTGGTAGATTGTGATTAACTGACAAAATGGGGATTTGAATTATAAAGAACTTTTTAATAAAGATTTTTTGTAGGAGCTAATAAAGAATGCCAGAATTTGGAAAAATGCCTAAGAAACTTTCACTTAATAGAATATGGTTATTGCACTTGCAGAAAAAATATGATGAAAGGAAAAATGAAATAGGACCCAGCACAGATTCTCTAAGGAAGCTACTTTAGAGAAAGAAAAGTGAAAGTATGTCTCACTGGAAAATGTATATCAGCACAGCACAGCGGTTCTCAACTTTCCCAATGCCGTGACCCTTTAATACAGTTCCTCAAGTTGTGGTGATCTCCAACCATAAAATTATTTTTGGTGCTACTTCATAACTGTAATTTTGCTACTGTTATGCATTGTAATGTAAACATCTGATATGCAGGATGTATTTTCATTGTTACAAATTGAACATAATTAAAGCATAATGATTAATCACAAATATATTGAGAAATATTTATTTCTATTTACAAATAAATGAAATTTTGTCTTGAAGCATAGTATAACATGGGTAACAGTCTTAATATAACAGTAAACTACACTACTACATTTTGTGACAATGTAAAAACCCAACGTCATTGCAAAGGTTGAGATTGCTTCTTTCTCACCAGATCAGAAATTCTCGGGGAAGTCTTTGCAAGAGCACAACGAAGATCATCTTCCTCAACAAATATACTGCTGTTTTTAGATTGCTAACCAACAAGCTGGAAAACCCTGTTTCACAAAGATATGTTGTTGGAAATGGAAGAAGAAGGCGCAACACAATCTCAGAAAGAACAGGATAGGACTGCAAACACTTGATCCAAAATTTTGCAACTGGCATTGTAGAGAAATCAGTTTTTGCTGCACCACTGTTAATAAGTTCAATGAACTCCTCTTGGGCTCCTTCAGGGACATCTTCAATTTCGATTGTGAATGGGCTTCTGGCGAGTGCAAATGGGGTGTCAGGTAGATTTGGAAAGTACAATGGAATTTCCTCAACAAGCATGCGAAAGTGTTCCTTCACATAAGTTATCATTGTAATCCTTTTGTCAGGTTCAATGTCATGCTCCTCAAAAAAAGCAGATAAGATAGACAACATGTAAATTTTACTTTCATCCAGTTTTTTCTGCCAATGCTGGAGTTTCATTTGGAATGATTGGATCTTTTCATACAAATCAAGGCATGTTGTGTTTGGTCCTTGCAGCGATGAATTCAACTCATTAAAGATGGCAAAGATGTCAACCAAATAAGCTATTTTCTTCAGTTCATTTTTATCGCTGAAAAGCACTTCGTACTGCGGTCTTGCTTCCTGATTAAAGAATGTTTTGAGTTCATCACGAAGCTCAAAAACACATTTTAAAATGTTTCCTCTCAACAACCATCTCGCTTCAGTATGAAGTAACAGAGCATTGTTTTGCGCATCCAACTCGCTGCACAGTTGCGAGAGCAGTTGACTATTTAAAGTGCTTGATTTTACAAAATTGACAGAACTTATGACACTTTTCATTACTTCTTGTAACTCTTGTGGCAGTGTCTTCATTACTAATATTTGCCAACGCATCATAGAGTGAGTTCCAATGACTTTTGGTGACTCATTAAGTACCAAACGCTGAAATCCAGATCCACATCCTAACATAGCTGGGGCACCATCTGTGCAAACACCACAAACCTCTTCCCAAGAGATCGTATGCTCTTTCAGAAATGAACCAACTGTGTCAAACACACCATATGTAGTAGTTGTCATTTCAAGTGGTTTGCAAAAAAGAAACTCATCTTTAAAGTTGCCATCATTAATATACCTCACGTAAACCAGTAATTGTGAACAATTTGTAATGTCTGTAGATTCATCCAGCTGGATACTAAATATTGGAAGTGGAGCAGATTTAATTTCCTGGATAACCTGATCAAGAATATCAGTAGACATGTCATTTATTCTTTTCTGGACAGTGTCGTGAGATAAAGAAACTGCACTCAATGTCGTAACAAATTCTTCTCCGATCATATATTGAACAATGCCTTTGGCTACTGGCAACATTAAATCCTCAGCAATGGTATGAGGTGCCATAGCTCTGGCAATTCTGAGTGACACCACATATGAAGCTTCAATGGCTGCTACATCCTCATTATGTCTTCTTTTTCTAAATTTCTTCTCTACACAATCCATTGTCGTAGGATGGTTTGCTAATGAAAAAAAATAACAATAGCTTTAATAATACAAAAGATGATACATGCCATAGTTCAGTCAACACAGTCCATTAAACTTTCCTATGCTTTACCATCCTGTGTTTTTTTAACATACCATCACAAGGGGGCAGTATTTACATCATCCACAGTTGAATATAAAAAAATTGATCAGCATCCAGATTAAGCTCTCATGGTAGATTTTTTTTTTGGCAGTAGTTGATGATTTTACAGTACATTATTTTACATTTACCCAGTAATTATAATTCATGAAGCATTATTTTACCTCCAATACTGCTTTCAACACGCATGTGACTGATCTGCATAACTAATTATGCCACCAACCCTGTTACATATATTTGTACGGGTGCATGTGATGGGGTCGATGATGTCATCACACCGGGTACTCATATGTGGGTGTATCTGCATGTGGACAGATCCGCCTGGAGTTGGATAGAGGAACAGTGTATAAAAGGAGAAGGAGGGATGGAGGGAGAAGGAGAGGACAGGGCCCACGTCATGGAGAGCATGAGGTGCAGCAAGAGGAAGAGAGAGGTAGAAGATTCTGCTGAGGATACAGGCAAACTGAGGGAAGGAAGGGTAGAGTGGGAGAAGGCCCCACTGCTGCAGCCCATGGCAGGGTCCCTTTGGGGAGAAGCCTCCCCTTCCACACCTTCTCCTTTCTCCCCTCTTTGCTCCTAAGCAAACCTCACCTCCGTCATTCTCTATTTCTCCTAAAATGGCAGATGGGGGAAGACTGAGTGACATCACCAGAAAAGAACATGATTCTGGGAAGCGAAGGGGGTGGGAACAAGTTAGCAGTTTCTCAGTTCCCAAGACCATTGGAAATATGTTTTCTGGTGGTCTTAAGTGACTCCTGTGAAAGGGTTGTTCAACCCCCAAAGGGGGTGAGAACTGCTGTCCTAACACAATGGAAGGTACATTAATAACTAGACTATTAAATTTAACAATTTATTTTTAATGTCACATAGGGAAGGGCAATCAGGTGTGTTATACACACACACACACACACACACACACACACACACACACACACACACAAATGATGTTTAATGTCTGTTACAAAAGGCTCCAGACCAGGGATCCCCAAACTAAGGCCCATGGACTAGATGTAAACCTCCAAAATCATTTACCCAACCCCAGCCCTAAACTTTAGACTTGCAGACACCTTAAGATTGTTACTTGAAGGCACACAACAAGAATCGTAATTTGACTATCTCATCAGCAAAATAAATAAATAAATCAGGCCCACACTTCCCATTGAAATACTAAATACTGGTGAATTTATGTTGGTTAAATTGCTCTTCCTTTTAAATATTGTATTGTACTTTGCACTACAAATAAGATATGTGCAGTGCATGTAGGAATTTGTTAGTTTTTTCCCCCCAAACTATAGTTCAGCCCCTCAACAGACTGAGAGACTGAGAACTGGCCCTTGGCTAAAAAGGTTGGAGGACCCTTGCTCCAGACCATTGAACACTTTTCTGCCACAAGATGAGGACCATCTTTTTTCTGGACCAAAGGCTAGATAAAGAATGGGAAACAGAAGGTAGGAAATGAATGCAAAGCAGTAGAGATCTGCTAGGATTTCTGTTGCAATAGAGGAAGCTACAATTTTGATAACATCCCAACATTTAGATGGTGAAAAGATCAAATGCATTGTGAAGAGTTCTAGAAGAATTATAACCACAACTGTGAAGGAGAAAGAAAATGACAAAACAGATTGAATGCAAATAAATGCACAGTGCACATTGAGGGAAATATCCCACTCACATAATCAAATCCCAAGTAGCTTTTGACTTTTCCAGAAAAGAAAATCTAGAGTAGTAATTCTGGGGGGGGGGGGGGGGGGGGGAGAGAGAGAGAGAGTAAAATAGCAACTCTGCATGATAGGAATTATTTAAAAACAGATATATCCTTGCACTGTTGTATTTAGAATACCATGGACCGCTCTCATTGTAGATCTCAAGAAAGGATATGGGCCAGAAATGGGATAGCAAATTATCACGCGGGCTGAGCACTGCCAATGTCCTCCACAAACACCATACTGCCCCCTACCCAAGTGAAGGCTTTCATACAGGGACAATTTCATCCTAGATTATGTGTTTCCTCCACCACAGACATCCCAGTGTTTCTGATTCTCTCAATTGGTATGGAATTTGCATGACCCTGCCCAATGCCTCTCCCATAACCCTTTCCTATTATTTTCTAAGGCACACAGTAAGCAGAGGAACTGATTAGCAACTGAAGGTACTAGAGAGATTTGGGGAGATTTCAACATGTAGTTGTGATATCGGAGAGACCGCCCCCCCCCCCCCCCCGGACTCTGTAAAAGATAGTTCAAACCAAGGAATTCAGAGTTTTACCAAGGACACCAGGCTGGAATGATCCCATAATCCCCTATCTCTCCCCCATGTGGGAATCTAAGGCTCTTTCCATGGCCCCTTATGGCAATGCCCCTGTAACCCAAACTTGCATCTGACCAGTTTGGCTATTATTTATTAATTGGATTTATAGTTTTCTCCTCTTCAGTGAATGGATCTCAACTTTCAGCGCTCACAGTAACCCCAATGTGCTCCCCATGGACTCTTGTGAACTTTCCAAGGCTCCCTATGAACTTTTAATCAACCTTTAAGGAACTTTGGAACTCTCAGGCACCCTCTGCCAAATCCCTGTGAATCCTTTATGAATTTCCACAACTTTTTAATGAACTTTCAATGGAGTTTGGGGGGGGAGGGCTGACAGGGCTCCCTTGACCTTGCATGATTTATCCCTTCCTTGCATGTTCCCCTTCCCCATATGTGTATATGTCTATATTTATGAAATGTGAAGAAAAAGCCACGATTTTCAAAATCCAGCAACTCACCTGGCTCAGGAAGTCCCCTCATGCTTCCTGAGGTACTAATCTCTTAACAAAAGGTTCCACCAAGCCCATTTGCATGATAATAATTAAATGACTCTATTGACCTGGGCCTCAGAGAACAGGAAGCCACCCACCCAGAACAAAAGGATCTATGGACATATGGTATCACCCAATATAAAGGTGTCTTCCTGTCTGCGAGGAATTAGGACTTCACCACAGCTTTTTCCATTATGTCAGCCCTGCTGGCCGAAACCAGTTCCAAAGTTCATCAACGCACCCCATATCTCTGGATGATAAAACAAAGGACCTGGCCACTTGGGCCAGACTACAGATGATGCTTCCAAGGAACTTAAACAATAAACCCTGGCCAGCTCAAGGGCTTAACTTAAGCAATTGCTGAGCCATTTTGCAAACATTCGTCATTTAAACCAGTCAACTGGACATTTCTTCATTGTCTCCCTGTTGCCCGCCTCCCTTCCACTTCATTGGCTGAGAGACCAAAGCAGGGCTCAGGCTTTGACGTCACAGCCAATCATAACAACGCCAGCTCAGGGGGGCGGCTGGGCATGGGAACTTTTGAGTCTAAAGCCTATAAATACTGTATCTCTTTGCCCAGTGAGCATGTCGATTTGTTTGCAGAATTACTGCAATCGTCATCCTTTCCAGCTGAAACGAAATAAACATCTCAGGGGTTTTCTCTTCAACTTTATTCTGGAATATTGGCTTCTCTTTTCTCTCACCAGGCTACCCACAATGGCTTGGGCCTAATCCACAGCCATTCTAAACTGCTCGACAACAGTTGTAGATGCTGGGATGTATAGATCACCTGCAATCTAAGAGCACTTTTGTTGGGTTTCATCCCTGACTGCACAAGTCTCCAGCTCTCAATGCATAGTTAGCCTAGATAGACTGAGGGATCCCTCCCCAATTTCCTCTAGCTAGTTGATTTTAAGAAGGGATTTGTCTTACTAATCTTTGAATGGCACTATCTCCTCCCCCTCTGAATACCTAGGAATGTGATATTTTCAGGGAAATGTAACTTCTTTTAAAAGTATTTTCATTGCCCTGGGCTGGCCATGTGGCCTGTCTCCTTTTTCTGGCCTCTTCTCCTTTTGTCTTCTCTAGAATGAGGAAACATGTTGCCATTGTCTAAGGCAAGATGTAATAGATATGTTTGTTGTTGTTGTTCATTCATTCAGTTGTCTTTGACTCTTCGTGGCCTCATGGACCAGCCCACGCCAGAGCTCCCTGTCAGCCGTCACCACCCCCAGCTCCTTCAAGGTCAGTCCAGTCATTTCAAAGATGCCATCCATCCATCTTGTAATAGATATAGTTACTTTTATTATTTTTCTTTTCCTTTTTCTTAGAAGACAGCTCCTGATTCCTAACAATTTTGAACTCCACCAACAATTGACCTGGAACTAACTTGGCCAGATACTGGTCAAAGGACATTTAATCAACTACCAAGCTTGCAAACTCTGTTTTGTCTGTTTGTTAAAAATTTGTTTAAAATGTAATACAATTGTCTGGTTGATACTGACACGATAAATAAAATAAATACTAACTTGGCACACAGAACCACCATGACCAACAAAAAAATACTGGAGGTCTTTCCAGAGATTTATAGGAGTTGTAGTTTTCGCCTATATCTAGAGTTCACAATGAACCCAAAAACGATGGATCTGGACCAAACTTGGTATGCATACTAGATATGCCCAAATTTGAATACTGGTGGCTTTTGAGGGGAATTTGCCTGGGCATTTTGGAGTTGTAGGCACTGGGATTTATAGTTTGCTTGCAATCAAAGGTGGAATTGGACCAAACTTGGCACACAGAGCCAGCATGACCAGCAAAAAATACTGAAGGTCTTTGCAGGAAATTCACTTTGACTTGGGGGAGTTGTAGTTCACCTACATCCAGAGAGCACTGCAAACCCAAACACCAATGGAAATGGACCAAACTTGGCACAATTACTGATATGCCAATATTTGATTACTGGAGGGGTTTGGGGGGAACTGAACTTCCTTTCTGGAAGTTGTAGTTCACCCACAACCAGAGAAACTGACCCCCCACCGATGATGGATGTGGACTAAACTTGGCACACAGAACCCCCATGACTAACTCAACCTACTGGAGGGACTGACTCACCATAGTGGGAGTTGTAGTTTACCCTACAGCTAGAGAGCACACTGAACCCCACCTGGAACAAATTTGCCCAATATAACAAACTTTAAGTATTGATGGAGTTTCCCAGAGTTAACCTGGCATGATGGGAGTTGTAGTTCACCCACAATCTTATGCATTTTGTACAATTAAAAATTGACTTTTTCAAATAACCCAGGCAGCTAGTACCCAAGCTAGTACTATATAAAATGTAATATATATATATATATATATATATATATATATATATATATATATAGAGAGAGAGAGAGAGAGAGAGAGAGAGCATATATATATATATATATGCTCTACTAGGGCAATAGACACGATTGCTCCAGAACGTCCCCTCTCAAGTAGCCGAGCTAAACCAGCCCCTTGGTTTACCGAGGAGCTGGCAGCGTTGAAGCGAAAGAAGAGGGAACTAGAGAGCGTGTGGCGTTCGGATCCGAGCGAGCCAAACCGAACACGGTTTGTGTCCTTTTTAAGGGCATATGCCGCGGCAATAAAGGCCGCAAAGAAAATCTTCTTTGCGGCTACTATTGCGTCTGCAAAGAACCGTCCGGCTGAACTGTTCCGAGTTGTCAGAGGCCTTTTAAAACCCACCATTCAGGATGGGTGCCCTGATGACTCGGCAGCTCGCTGTGAAGCCTTTGCTCAGTTCTTTGCAGACAAAGTCGCTTTGATCCGCTCTGGACTGGATACCATATTAACGGCAGTCTCTGAGGATGTAACACGAGCATCTGCTTGTCCGGGTTTGATGGATTCATTTCAATTGGTTCAATCCGAGGATGTGGACAAGGTGCTTGGAGGAATGAGAGCTACCACATGCATCCTAGACCCCTGCCCATCCTGGCTTCTAACGGAGGCCAGAGGGGGTTTGGCCGAGTGGGTGAAGGTGGTGGTGAATGCCTCCCTTCGGGAAGGCAAAATTCCAGCCAGCTTAAAGCAAGCTGTAATAAAACCGCTGTTGAAGAAACCATCACTGGACCCCACTCAATTCGTCAACTATCGGCCTGTTTCCAATCTCCCCTTTTTGGGCAAAGTCATGGAACGTGTGGTGGCCTCACAACTCCAGGCATTCTTGGTAGACACGGATTATCTAGATCCGGCACAGTCTGGCTTTAGGCCGGGGCATGGTACCGAGACAGCCTTGGTCGCCTTAGTGGATGATCTGCGTCGGGAGCTCGACAGGGGGAGTGTGTCCCTGTTGGTGCTGCTCGACCTCTCAGCGGCCTTCGATACCGTCGATCACGGTATCCTTCTGGGACGCCTCGCGGGGATGGGTCTTGGAGGTACTGTTTTGCAGTGGCTCCGCTCATTCCTCGAGGGTCGGTCCCAGATGGTGTTATGGGGAGACTCCTGTTCAACCCCACAACCTTTGTCTTGTGGGGTTCCTCAGGGTTCAATACTGTCTCCCATGTTGTTTAACATCTACATGAAGCCGCTGGGCGAGATCATCCGGAGTTTCGGAGTGCAATGTCATCTGTACGCAGATGATGTTCAACTCTGTCACTCCTTTCCACCTGCTACTAAGGAGGCTGTCGAGGTCCTGAACCGGTGCTTGGCCGCTGTGACGGTCTGGATGGGGGCGAACAAATTGAAATTGAATCCAGACAAGACAGAGGTACTCCTGGTCAGTCGCAAGGCCGAACAGGGTATAGGATTACAGCCTGTGTTGGATGGGGTCCCACTCCCCCTGAAGACGCAGGTTCGCAGTTTGGGTGTGATCCTGGATTCATCGCTGAGCCTGGAACCCCAGGTTTCGGCGGTGACCAGGGGAGCTTTTGCACAGTTAAAACTTGTGCGCCAGCTGCGCCCGTACCTTGGGAAGTCTGACTTGGCCACGGTAGTCCACGCTCTGGTTACATCCCGTTTAGACTACTGCAACGCTCTCTACGTGGGGTTGCCTTTGAAGACAGCTCAGAAGCTCCAACTAGTCCAACGCTCGGCAGCCATGATTTTAACAGGAGTGGAGCGCAGGGAGCATACAACCCCCCTGTTGCGCCAACTCCACTGGCTACCGATATGCTACCGGGCTCAATTCAAAGTGCTGGCGTTGGCCTTTAAAGCCCTAAACGGTTCTGGCCCAACTTATCTATCCGAACGTATCTCAGCCTATCAGCCCACCAGGACCCTAAGATCTTCCGGAGAGTCCCTTCTCTCTATCCCTCCAGCTTCAGAAGTGCGGCTGGCGGGAACGAGAGATAGGGCCTTCTCTGTGGTGGCCCCTCGGCTTTGGAACGCCCTCCCTATAGAGGTACGATCAGCCTCGTCGCTGATGGTGTTTAGGAAGAGACTCAAAACATGGTTATTCAAACAAGCATTCGGCTAATCTGTGGCAATTAAATCGAATCTTGGTGACTATGGACGGGAAATATGGACAACGAACTCTGGATTGTGATTTTAACTTGAGATATATGGGATTATTATTGTTATTGTATTTGTATATGTTTTTAAACTGAGATTGTTTTTAAAATGCTGTAAACCGCAATTGAGTCGCCGTTCTAGGCTGAGAAATTAGCGGTATACAAGTGTACCAAATAAATAAATAAATAAATAAATAAATACATAATATGCCACAAGCTTGCACGAAAAAGATGTATTTGGTACAGTTTGTGTTCTTATCCAGATTCATTTTGTTCCACAACTGATTTTGTGGTGCTTATGCCTGAGTAGAATCCTCTCAATCGAACTTTATTTGTATTTCACCTATCTCCCCATGAGGACTCAGGGTGGCAGTGGGTCCAGCATTTGGGGGAAATTATAAAATAACGCAAGACCTTTAACATTAGTAATAAATCAATTATTGATTGAACATTAGTAATGCTAATTGGAAATATTTCACTACCCATCCCCCTATTATTGCAATTGGAAGTATCCCCCCTCACTAATTGAACTTGTAAGAGAAAAAATATAATTGCAAGAGAATAATTAAAATCACAGGCCCCTTCCACACTGCCCCTATATCTCAGGATCTGATCATCTTCTTATCCCAGATTATCTGGCAATGGAGACTCATATAATCCAGTTTAAAGCAGATAATCTGGAATCAGATCCTGAAATATAAGGAGTGTAGAATGAGCCACCTTGGAAAGGGGGTTCAGGAACCCTCTTTTCTCACCATCACCTTCCTCTGGACACTGACCTGAACGCAGAAAGAAGTCCTTGCTTGCAAATGACATAGGGACAGGCTGGTTAGTAGGACCCGCTTATTACCAACAGCAGCAGAACTCCGCTCAGTTCGAACTTCTCCTCGGAAATGATAGCGCCACGAGAGAATCTCAGGATGTAAACTCTCGCACCTTCCCGCGAAAACGTGCTATTAGATTAGCCAATCAGAGTTGCGTGGTACAGCCAACGTCTCAAGTGATTGGACGTTCGATGGCTTCCCTTGCAAAGGGGGCGGGGCTTAAAGCAGGAAGCCAAAACTTTGCCATCCTTCTCTAGGCAAAGCGCCAGAATTTAACCCTTGCCTACTCTCCTCCCTAGGTCAAAGCTTTTAAGGATGATCAGGCCTTTTCCACACAGCTGAATAAAATCCCACCTTATCTGCTTTGAACTGGACTATATGGCAGTGTGGACTCAGATAAACCAGTTCAAAGCAGGTCCTGTGAGATTTTCTGCCTTGATATTCTGGGTTATGGGGCTGTGTGGAAGAGCCCCTCAGTCGCTATTACGATTTTATTATTTAGAATCAGAGTTGGAAGAGACCTCATGGGCCATCCAGTCCAAGCCCCTGCCAAGAAGAAGGAATATTGCATTCAAAGCACCCCTGACAGATGGTAATTTCATCTTGTCCATTTGGCCTGCCCATCCTGTTCGATTTTATTTTATATGAATTTGCTTTATTATTTTACTTTGCTATTGTAATTATCTTCTGATGTAATTTTGTTTCTGCATTCTGTATTTTATTGTGTTGTATTGTATTTTGTGGCTTGCCGCCCAAGCCTCCGTTAGGGAGATGGTGGCGGGGTATAAATAAAGATGATGATGATCATTATTATTATTATTATTGAACTCCTACCCCTTCTAGAATTCTTGAAAGCACTTTCAAAATTTTCTGTAGCTGTTTACTGTTCTCAGGCAGTATCTGACTTGTAGAATTGACACTGCTGAATTGCCCTGGCTGAATGTTATGGCATCCCAGGAGTTGTAGTTTTGTACTCTTCATAGTAAAGGCTTAAAGACCTTGTAAATTCTGGGATTTGTAGTCTGGTGAGGCACCAGCACTCTAACAGGGAAAACTAAAAGCTTTGGAAAACGATAACTGCCATAATACCATAGAATTGATCCATTGACACTAATGTGGTATCAAACCCCAGTAATTTTACCCCGAGGGATCTTTCTCTTCTGCCTCTTTTGTTCACTCTATCAGAAGCCAAACTGATTTTGTGTTAGATTAGGATATATGTTCTTCGAACAAAGTCTTTTATTTTCTTTAGCCTTGGGCCTAACGTGTCTAGGTTTTTGAAATACAGTACTGCAACCCAGCCTTGCAAAGGCTTTTTTATAGCATCTTCACATTATGCAACATCTAGTGGCCAAATTATATATTGCATCTAAACTATATTACCAATGTGTTGTCCAAGGCTTTCATGGCCGGAATCACTGGGTTATTGTGAGTTTTCCACGTGGTATGGCCATGTTCCAGAAGCATTCTCTCCTGACATTTCACCCACATCTATGGCAGGCATCCTCAGAGGTTGTGAGATCTGTTGAAAACCAGGCAAGTGGTATTTATATATCTGGAATTTTCAGCGGAGAAAGAACAATTTGAGGCAAGTGTGAATGTTGCAATAGGACACCTTGCCTCAGACAAGAGTACTTTCTCCCACCCTGGACATTCCATAGATAATAAACCCCACTTGCCTAGTTTCCAACAGACATCACAACCTCTGAGGATGCCTGCCATAGATGTGGGCAAAACGTCAGGAGAGAATGCTTCTGGAACATGGCCAGACAGCCTGGAAAACTCACAACAACTCATTATATTACCAATTTCATAGTCTTCAATTTCTTAAAAAGGAGGGAGAGGTGGGGAAATAGTGTGGCAGCACCTTTAAGGCTTACTGGTTTTTATTTTAGCCTAAGCTTTTGTGGATATAAATTCACTTCACAAGTGGTCACCACCCACCTTTCTTGTATGGGGTTCAGCCCAAAATACAACCAGTTTAAAAGTTAGCAGCGAGGACTTTGTTAACCAAGACCTTTATTCTCTTAGTTTAGCCCTCTTGGGAACAGAATGAAAACTGTAGCTCATGACATGCAGTTTTTGTGAAGCTTAAAGGATGGGACTGAAGAACTTACAAATTGAAGACTGATGTCCCAAAGCATTACTTCAGCTTTACCAAGTTAATGAAATGCTTCCTTGTATAGGTTTCCCATGTCATTAAGTCTAGTCTTGTCAGACTCTGGGGGGTGGTGCTAATCTCCATTTCCAAGCCGAAGAGCCGGCATTGTCTGTAGATAGACACCTACAATGTCATGTGGCCAGCATTACTGCATGGAGCACTGTTACCTTCCCACCAAGGCTGTACCTATCAATCTACTTATATTTGCATGTTTTCTAACTGCTAGGTTGGCAGAAGGTTGGGCTAACAGAGGGAGCTCACCCTGATCCCCAGTTTCAAACAGCCAACCTTTTGGTCAGCAAGTTCAGCAGCTCAGTAGTTTAACCTGCTGCACCACTAGGGGGCCCTGAAATGCTTCTTAGCAACAATTTACCAGTTTTCATTAAAACATTTTTTTTAAATGTATCAGGCAAAGCTGCAATTACATGCACACAATTGAGAAAATATTCCATGACATTTCACTGCATTTTATATACAAGTTTTAATAAGATTGAGTGTTGGCTGTAGCTCTTACCTTTTATAAGACAAGCAAATCCAACAATTATTAGTTCTATTGCTGGTGGTTCTTCAGCGTCTAAAACAGTGGTTCCCAACCTTTTTTTTTTTACTAGGGACCACTCTCCAATAGTACCAAATGGGTTACGAATCAGTTTTTGGTCAACTTTAGATTCGGTTTGGGGCGCCAATTCAGAAAATTGCACTGGATAGACCACATCAGCTCGTGTTTGACAGAACATATGCCATGGTCATGTGAGTTCATTTCTTAAGTAGCATGCAGTAAGTGATATAAGGATCAATGCAGCAGGGAATGAGCCAAACCACTTGGCCACCATTGTGTAGTTATAGCCAGGGTGGGGCAGCTGCAGGGGGAATAAAGGAACCAAAGTACAACTCCTTTGTGTGGGTTGTTGGGATAGGTTGCTGGAGAGGTGTGTTTGGAGTTCTACAAGGCATGTGTCTCAAAGAGAACATTTGGACTCTGTATGTATATATGTTCTTTTATAAACTCTGCAAAAGACAAAGACTGAGTTTGTTCCTTGGTCAAAGGCAAAAGACTTCCGCACTTGTGAGTGTTTACATTCATCTTCATAGTGACAGGGAAGGAGTAGCAGGCAGTGTAAAAGGAACAGAAATAAAAATAAATAAATAAAAAGAGCAAGGAGGCTTGGTTCGCAGCCCACGGGTTAAGAACTGCTCTAAAATATGAACCAAGGAAACCCAACATTTGAGATAAGAATAACTTGCACACAATTCTCCCACACACATTCCCTTGACATACTTTATTCTACTTCCACAACCCAAATTAACATTTTTCAGCAAAGAGTATGCATGTGTATAGATGGGGATTTGTGTTGAAGATCAATACAATTTGGGAAGAATGACTATAGAAGAGAAATCTTTCCCAATTCCCATCCAATCAGGAGCTTTATCTGCAGGTCGAACTGTTGGACACCTTTCAAATGTGTAGGGAAGATTGACCTTGCTGTGTGTCTTCCAAGTTACTTCTATGGTGACTTATCACCAGATTTGTTTAGAGTTTGCCACTGCTTTCTTCTGAAGCAGAGTATGCAATGTCCAAGGTTTTTCAAACTGAGTGGGAATTCAAACACTGGTGTCCCAAAGTCCCAGTCCAATACTCAAACCACTAAAACCATTCAGGAGTTCCTTTGGAGTCGTTTTCCTCCCGTTTCATATCTTGGGTTTATAGCCTACGTTTGAAAGCAAAACATAGAAGCCAGAAACGAAAAGATGTTTTGTATTGTCAAAGGCTTTCACAGCCAGAATCACTCAGGTTTTGTGTGGTTTCCGGGCTATATGGCCATGTTCTAGCAGCATTTTCTTCTGATGTTTCACCTGCATTTGTGGCTGGCACCTTCAGAGGATCCTCTGAAGATGCCAACCACAGATACAGGTGAAAGTCAGGAGAAAATGCTGCTAGAACATGGCCATACAGCTCGGAAAACACACAACACCCCAACAGATGCTTAGTCATCTCAGAATGGTACATTAAATAATTCAAAGATACAAACAGTGATTTTTTTCACCTATTTATTATACACAAGATGCAACCAAACCGCAACAGGGTTCTACTGAGGTGGCTGTCCACGTCCACGCCCAAATCCACCTCTCTGCAAGTGAAAAAAATCATAATACATGTGTCAGTGCCTCCAAAAATGTCAACTTTATACTTTCTAAGACAGGATGCCTTAATGTTGATGGGCAGCTAAGGGGACAACTAAATAAAACTTTGACTGAATGGAGAATGTTCTGCTCTAGGAAGCAAACCTGCAGCTCAAATATTTATAAGCAGACCTTTTCCAATCATACTGTACCTACTTCTGGTTAATAACAAACTCTTAAAAATGTATTCGCTGAGCTGCCTAAGCAAATAGACTATTGAACTTTATAGCTGAACAATACAAACATTTTTCAGCCATGCTGTATAGGGACTGGCTTGCCATAAATGAAAAAAACCCTCCAGAAATCAAGAAATAGCCTTTAAATTGTTAAAAATAAGCTAATTGCAAGAAAAAAATGTAATAAGTAGTACTTAAGGTATAAAAAAGAAGATCTATGCTAGCAAAATCTCTTTTAAAATAAGCTCACTATTAATTTAATTTCCTTAATAAAATGAACAACAGAAATCTAGTGCCTGGTATCCTTGTGACTCATTAGCAAGAAAATTTTGCACACAAAGAACTCTATGCACTTCTTGCCTGATAATATGACTGCACTCTTCTACCTGTACTGGTAATTCTCAACTAAGAACTCTTAAGTTAGTTATCTTTTACAGCAAAAGGAATGTGCAAGTGGGACCAGTAGCTATTATGCATGACAAATTGCCGGTAACAACACCTTGCCCGAAGTCTCTATTGTCCAATCAGTGTCACTTCCTGCTATGGACTATTAATGGTCTTGTGGGTATTCAAATCATGTCCAACCTACGACAACTTTAAGGCAGATTTGTTCAGAGAGAGAGGGTTGCCCTTGGCTTTCTCTGAGGCTGAGAGAATGCAATTTGCCCAAGGTGCTACAACGGATTTCCGTGACCAAGAGGGATTTGAACCATGGTCACCCAGAGATCAATTCCAGCACTCAGATTAGCATTACACCATAGCAAATATGTTAAGATTTGTTCAGTAGAGGCTTGCTGTTGCCTTCCTATGAGATAGAGTCTGACTTGCTCAAGTCAAACCAGTGGGTTTCACATCTGAGCAGAGATCCAACCCTCCTCTCAATCCTATGCTCAAACTACTATTCCATGCTGGCTTCTATAATAAATTATTACCAGGTTTTGCAAATGGAATGCCTATAGTTTCTCCCACAGTAAGAACAGTATCCAAACAGGAGTATATATGTCATTCTTGCAGACAATCTTGTTTAAGTGACATGTTCCACGTGATACTTACAAACTGGAATTCAGTAGCTGACCCAGCACCAGCTTCTGCCTTCTTGTCAGCACCAGCTATGAAGGAAAAAGACTAAAATTACCCAGGATAATGAGACAGCCATATATACATGTTTGTCATCCTCAGAAAAACCAACTGTTGTATTATTCTCAAAGCCCAAAAATGATCTCATTTTAACACACTGCATTCTTGAACTGGAAGCTCAGCACAACCTTAAGGTTAAAACTGGAGCATCTCTGTGTTGCACTACACTTTCAATAACATCTCATCAGGGCCAAGCAAGATTTGCTGTGTTCTCCACAATCTTCAATACTGAGGGTTGCAATCCACAAAGTTAAGTTGCAATAAAACAGGAGAAAACTGTACTTGGATAACCCCCTCCTTTTGACCTTACAGTTAACACTTACATGGAGCAGCACTGCGTCTGTAGGTGTCCCTGTCAGCTTCTCCCCGTGTGAGACGGGCAGGACGCTCACCCTCCAAGCCTGAAATGGTCCAAATAGCACACATTAATCCAGAAAATTCTCACTATACTCCAGGTTGGGAAGTTATGCTTCAGCATTAATAATTAAATCACTTTCTTTTTTGAAGGTAGGATGGCCAAACCTAGCTGTTCCAAAACAGGCAAAACATACAAATGTGAGTAGATCAATAGGTACTGCTTCAGTGGGAAGGTAGCGCTTCATGAAGTAATGTTGGACATGTGACCCAGGAAATATTTATGGACAACGATGCCTGTTCAAATTAGAAATGGAGATGAGCACCACCCTCCAGTCAGACACAACTAGACTTAATATCAAGGGGAAACCTTTACCTTTAATGGCCAAAACTTAATTTCTTCATGCCTATTGGCTTTGTCTAAACCAACCGCACAACAATTGAATGCAAACCTCCTTATAACTGCATGCATCACACAGTTCAATCCAACACTAGAATGTACGCCAAACTACCATTATTTTCTTTATACAGCACACATTTTATGTTGCCTCTAAGCTTCTTCCTCAATACTAAACTCACCCTTAAAAGCTGCCCTTCAAATTCTAGATAAAAAATATACCCTCTCTTACTGACTGAGAAAAATTTCCCATGAGATGAACAACTGTTAAGTATAATTAGCAGAAATGTATTAAGTTATATACACATTCTGAGGGATACAAACCAAGGCAAATAAAATGATTAGTGCACAGCTGAAATGCTTTAGAACAGCCCACAATTTATATAAAATTCACAGTGCTTATCTCTGTGCTATTAAAGTTAATGATTTCAAATACAGAAAACATGAGAAGCATCACTCACATTTTAGGACATGAATTGAAAGCTACCAACCAAAATCACGTAGACTTTCACATATCTTACAACAAGGAATGCTTATTTTAATTAAGAGAAACCTATCCTTCAGACTGCCAAGACCCACTCAATGTCTTTAAGCAACTCATCACTTGGCAGTGTAATTAACTATTTTGATACTTCAACTGTGGATAAAGGATGCAGCAGGAACAAGGTGGGTAAATTTCCTCATAAAATGTGAGGAAAAATCCATCCATCAAAGCATTATATGGGACCTAAGCAACCGTCGCTTTACAGGCGTGATGTCATACCAGGACAAACTGCAGTGACGACTATTTTGCAAGGCAACTTTACATTGACAAGATGGCTTGTCCTGTGAAGAAGCTACAACAGTTTCAAACCTCCGTACAACAGCTGTACCCTCAGAACCTGCTTCCTCTCCCCTGCAAGTCTGAAAGCAGACTGGATGTCAAGTTATCAGGAATGGTTTGAGTTGAAGAAAACTTTTCATGGTTAGATACACAGCCAGAAGGTCTGGAGTCAAACTCAATAGAGAACTCTTGAGACAATGCTACAGTAATTCTTAGCTACATTTCATATTTATTATTTAAGAAACAAATAAATTCAATTTGTAACTCAATAAAAACTTTTCTTAAATATTTAAGTATCACTTAATCCACATCATTAGATAGGTGACATGTTGAGTAATCTGTCGCCAACGTGAACACATGGACCAGCAGTTTGCAAGACATTACTTTGCTTTTAACAGATTACAGAGTAAAGGACAGTCATATCTAGCACTGACATGCAATTAGTCTTTTAGCTTAACTTATATTGTTTTTCAAGACCAATTTGTTCTCAATTGTATAACGTCAGTATTTCCCCACCATCCCCACTGCGTAGTACTCTGTAAGAGAAGGTTCAGATAGATAGATAGATAGATAGATAGGTAAGATAGATGTAGATAGATAGGTGACATGTATACAATCACATGTACACATCACTGTGGACAACTTTAGGTAGTACAATTCAACTATTTATAATTCTATTCTAAGTATACACAACCTGGTTTTTTTTTTTCAAATAGTGTTAGCAGTCTGGGCAGCATGAAGACATTGATGGTAATTTACAAGACCAAAGGGACCTTTTAGGATGGTTCTGAGTAAAGTAGGTAGGTAAAAGTAGAAATATTTTAATTTTTCCCAATTTTTGTTTTAAAAGTTCTTAACAACTGCTGAGGTTTGGTTCCAAGACCTCTCAATTATACCAAAATCCATGGATGCTCAAGTCTCACGATATACAGTGTAGTAAAATGGCATGCCTTATATGAAATGGAAAAATCAAGATTTGTTTTAGAATTTTATTTTTGGAAATTTTCAAGTTGTATACAGAATGCCAACTGTACTCCTTTCTATATAGCAGGGGTCCTCAAACTTTTTAAACAGAGGGCCAGGTTACAGTCCCTCAAATTGTTGGAGGGCCAGATTATAATTTGAAAAAAGTATGAATGAATTCCTATACACACTGCACATATCTTATTTGTGGTGCAAAACACACTTTAAAAATACAATAATTAAAATGAAGAACAATTTGAGCAAATATAAATTTATTAGTATTTAAGTGGGAAGTGTGGGCCTGCTTTTGGCTAATGAGATAGAAATGTTGTTGTTGTTGTGTGCTTTCAAGTTGTTTCAGACTTAGGTTGACCCTGAGCGAGGGCTGGGTAAATGAGCTTGGAGGGCCATATCCACCCTCCGGGCCTTAGTTTGATGACCCCTGCTATATAGGTTCAGTGTAATAAAGCTGCCCTGAATCTTAAAAGTGTAAATCTCATAAAATTATTTGCCAAATACAGCAGAGGGAAAAGCATGAGTTGACTACGTTGGCTCAGATGACAGACTTATTCCAAAACCAAGGGCCCAATAGGAGGATTTTAACCCACCGGTAGTCTACTGTCTTGGAATGCTGCAAACACTTAGCTGTATATAGTACAATGTGTTTGTGTACAAATTATCAGGAAAATGGGGAAAACTCACCTTCCATATGGTTATGGGTATGAATTCCCATCAGCACCAACCAGCATGGCCAATGGTCACGAATAACACAATTTTTAGTCAGAAAAACAATGGTGTTCAGAGGTTCTCCACCCATTTTAGAGTTTGATACTTTCTTTGTTAATCAGATTATATTGTGGCACCATGCTAGACTCAACTGTTTCAATAACTGTTTTACACTGCTCATATCTTATCTGTTAGCTGTTTGAGGCCCTTTTGAGCAATGGTATTTTAAATAGACCAATTATATAATTTCATTTGTAGATTATTGCCAAATGTAATTTCTCCAAACCAAATCTTACCTTTAGGTCGAGGTCTGCCAGTCTCAGGACGGCTGCGGCGCAAGGTGGCAGGTACAATTTCTGGTGGCAAATGGAGATAATCCCGCAGGTATTGGATGCCCTCGTTGGTCAAATACCAGTAGAAATGCCTCCAAGCAAACTGCTCCTTCACATAGCCACGGGATTTCAGTGACTAAAAACATAAGACTAGTTAATCCATATACAGAAATATCAATAGGATTTGACTATGTAACAAGATTGTTGTTACTGAGTTATAAATGTAATTTTCTAATTGGTTCTATCATAAAAACATGGAAAAGGTTTATAAAACTGCAAAATGGAGGTGAGACAACTGGAAGTGCTCTTCACTGAAACTATATCCCCATCCTTGTTTCTATAACAAGCCAAATTTTTCAAAATCCAATTATCACAGGGACAGAAAGTGAGATATCTTCTGAATTGGGGTGTAAATAGCAAAACAAACACCACAGGGGTGTTAGCCCTTCCATATTCTATCCAAAACATGTGTGCGTACACACACGTACACGTGTACCTACGTACGCATGTATATTTGGCTAGAGTTACACTTAAAAATATACACTTCGATTTGCATACAAATTTAACTTAAGAACAAACCTACAGAGCCTATCTTGTTCATAACTTAGAGACTGTCTGTATATATAGGTGTTTAGAAGGATCTTGCAAAACAGCAAATAGCTGATACGGTTGTAATCTCTCCTGCCGCTTTGCTGATCAATTTATTCACGGCCTACAATTACTAAATCATATTCAAGGCTTCTAAACGAAGATCCTGTCTTAATGTCAACATATGTGAGGCCCTTCAGACAAATCTAAACTGCACTTCCTATCACCTGACCATTAACTATGCTGTGAAGTTGCGATTCAACAATACTTGAAGAGCTGTGAATTACCCACTCATGCAGATAAAAGGTACAGGGCAAATGAAAGTTTCTGCATCTTAATACAGAGGGCAGAATTTAATAAGGCATTATCCATTTATGAAGAAGTTGCAACTCCTAAAATTCTTTCGAACGCACCACTATTAGGAGGGCAGATGCCATATTCTACCTTGCTTCAGCTTGTTCTCTCTTCCTGCCCACTCAACTTTTCCATTAAAGTAAAAAAGAAGAAGATGACAACCTCCCACAACTGATGCAACCCACTCATGCTCAGGTGCATCCATTGACTTACCTGCATTGCTTTCATGACGTGGAGGTTGGGAACATTTTTATCTGCCAGTTCAGGGTGCTTAGGCATGTGAACATCCTTTTTGGCTACCATCACTCCCTCCTTAAAAAGGAGTTCGTAGATGGCAATGCGATTTTTTTTAGGCATCAACATCTGCAAGAAAGACAGATTAAGTTGTCAACAGTAGCCACTTCTTTAATGTAAAGGAACATAAACTCCAAGCTTTGTCCATATGAGCCGCACAGGCTAACCATTGTATGAGGTAAGTGACACATACGTGGCCCATACTTAAATCCTGGAGTGCTGCACTATAAAAAAGGTAAACAGACCCCATTGTAATAAGTTGCTTCTTGCAAGATGAAATCATGATTACTCTAGGACTAGAGTGTGCACAAGCCAGAGGTCCTCAAACTAAGGCCTGCAAGCTAGATGCTGCCCTCCAAGTTCATTTACCCAGGCCTCGCTCTAAACTTTAGACTCTGGGCACCCTAAGTCCCAAACAGCTTGAAGGCACATAACAGCAATCCTAGTTAACTTGACTATCTCATCAGACAAAAATAGGCCCACACTTCCCATTGAAATACTGGCAAGTTTATGTTGGTTAAAATTGTTCGTTTTAAATATTGTATTGTTTATTCATTTATTTACACTACAAATAAGGTATGTGTGGTGTGCATAGGAATTCATACATTTTTCCCTAAACTATAGTCTGGCAGGCTGTGACCCTCTGCTTTAAAAGTTTTGAGGACCCCTGGTGTATGCTGCAGAATTCATATTAAGTTTGACTCCAGTTTAACAGTCATGGATCAATGCTATGAAATTCTGGGAGTTGTAGTTGAGACACCAATATTTTTTGGCAGAGAAGGTTAAAGACCTTGTGAAACAACAACTCCAATGATTCCATTGCTTTGAATCATGGTAAAGCCCCTTCACTAGAAACGTTCAAAAAAAACCTTAAAACCTGGTTCTTCCGCTGCGCCTTTGACGAGTAGGTGCACAATATGACACCACTGCACCCCTCAACACTCTTCCCACTGGATTACATGCCCTCCAAATGGGAAGTTTAGCTTCACAATTCTGTGTTTATGAGTTCCCTGCAAATAACTTGCTCCTATTTTTATCTCATTAGTCTTTTAATCGTTTTATCCTGTACATGTGGCCTGCCCATTGTTATTGTGATTGTGCTTATTGAAATGTTATTTTATTACTGTGTTTATAATTTTTTTCCTTTATATAATTTTAATGTTGTTTGTGGTTTATGCTCTGGTTTTATTTTGCTGTAATATGTTCTCCGGGCTTGGCCCCATGTAAGCCGCTCCGAGTCCCCATTATTATTATTAGTTAAAGTGGTGCCAAACTTCTTTAATTCTACACTGCAGATGAACCCTGAGTCTCTTAAAGCAGCCTGATTCTACTAAATTCCATCTAATTATTTTAAGTGGAAATGAAAAGAAAACTAACTAGGATCTTGGGATACTGAACTAATTAATTGGGAATAAGCCTCATCAAATGGAGTTCACAGTGGGTTAAACTGCTGAGCTGTTGAACTTGCTGACCGGAAGATTGGTGATTGAAATCTGGGGAGCGGGATGAGCTCCCGCTGCTAGCCCCAGCTTCTCCCAACTTAGTAGTTCAAAAACATGCAAATGTGAGTAGATTAATAGGTACTGCTCCAGCTGGAAGGCAACAGTGCTCCATGCAGTCATGCCTTGGAGGAACCTACGGACAATGCTGGGTCTTTGGCTTAGATATGGAAATGAGCACCACCCTGCTGGGGTCGGACACATATAGACTTAATGTCAAGGGAAAACCTTTAACTTTACCTTAAGTCTCATTACACATTGTGGAGCTTGCTTCCAATCCAACACGCACAGAATGGGGACATTGTTTCAGGATCACAATACATTTCAGTAGTAGAATGCACTTTGTTACCATGGGTCTCAGTTGGCCTTTGCCATGAAGTGACCTTTTGTTCACCATTCAGTCTATCTCTGGGTTGGATCTACACTGCAGAATTAATGCAGTTTGACACCACTTTCAACTGTCATGACCCAATGCTATGGAATCTTGGAAGTTGTAATTTGGTGAGGCACCAAGACCTACAACTCCCATGATTCCATGGTACTTGAGCCACAACAATCGAAGTGGTATCGAACTGCATTAATTCTACAGTAGATAAGATGCATCCTCTGATTACATTTAGACAAGCCTATAATGTCCAGTCTATGCTGCTTCCCAGGACAACTTTCATCCGGGCATTTAAACCCGCATCTAATTCTACTTCTATGTCTTCCGAAGCCACGGCCTGGATTTAGAGAATTGCCGCCTTTCGCCCAATTATCCCGGTTTCCTTCTCCCTTCTCCCCCTCCGGCCAAAAAGAGACCCGCAAAATGGATGGAGGAAGTGTCCGGAACCGAGAGGGAGGGCAACCGGACCGGCCACCGGCAGGATGGGGGCGATGCAAGAGAGATACAACGGGCAGAGCCAGGCCTTACCGTGGCGGCAGCGGCGGGCTCGAACGCTGGAAAGGATGGAGCATGCGCAGTGAGATCTCTTCCTGCTTTGGAAGGACCCCAGCTCTTAGCGAGCGCGACTATCGTAATGCCTGATAGCTTGTTGTCTATGGGCCATTCCACACAGCCCTATATTCCAGAATATCAAGGCAGAAAATCCCACATTTTCTGAGTGTGGACTCAGATAACTCAGTTCAAAGAAGATATTGTGGGATTTTGTGCCTTGATATGCTGGGATATAGGGCTGTATGGAAGGGCCCTATCGTCGCCTGTAAGCGGCAAGAGGTATAGCTGTCTTTGAAAAACGCCTGATCAGAGTTACCATGAATTCTTAATTGGAGATTTCTGTGATGTTTTGGGGAAACTTTTAAAAAAAGAAATAGAAAACATAGAAGAACGTTTTAGTGAAAGAGTCTCGTACATCTTCCTTGCATTTTCCCTCTCACACATCCCTTTTTCATTATGTTTTTGTGTGTCTTCAAGGCATTTATGGCTTAATAGTGACCACAAGACAAAGCCATCACTGGCAAGATTTGATCAGAGAAGATTTGCCCATCTACATTGCCATATAATGCAGTTTGGAACTACATTCAATTGTCAGTGTAGACTCACATAACACAGTAACTGCTTAAACTGTGTTATATGAGTCTACACTAACCATAGACGACAGTTCCAAACCGCATTATATGCCAGTGTAGATGGGGCCTGATTTACAAAGATCAGTTTGAAACTCCATCGGCTTTTTCCTCAAGCAAAATATTTTAAAACCATACAAGAGAAGAAAAATAATCATAATGTCACAAGCTTATGTTTTGTATTAGATGTTTCTGTTGTACTGTACAGTAGTTCTGTTGTTTTGGACTGAGGATCTCAATGCTTTATTTACTTGGGCGATCCCTCGTTGTCCGAACAGGATAGTCCTCCAAGATCATTGCACTGGTGGGTCCGTAGGTGACTGTGGAGCCCTATTCTTGATCTGCATCTTCTCCCACAGTGAGGGCATTGGTTTCCAGACGGGAGGTGGTCTTGGTCAGAGTTGGCTTGACGCGCCTTCCTCTTGGCACGTTTCTCTCTTTCGCCCTCCATTTGTGCCTCTTCAAATTCTACAGCACTGCTGGTAACAGCTGACCTCCAGCTGGAGCGCTCAAGCACCAGGGCTTCCCAGTTCTCAGTCTCTATGTCAGAGTTTTTAAGGCTGGCTTTGAGCCCAACTTTAAATCTCTTTTCCTGTCCACCATCATTCCGTTTTCCGTTCTTGAGTTCAGAGTAGAGCAACTGCTTTGGGAGATGGTGGTTGGGCATTCAGACAATGTGGCCAGTCCAGCTGAGTTGATGGCGGAGGACCATTGCTTCAATGCTAGTGGTTTTTGCTTCTTCCAGCATGCTAACATTTATCCACCTGTCTTCCCAAAAGATTTGCAGGATTTTTCAGAGGCAGCACTGATGGAATCGTTCCAGGAGTTGTTGCAAGACAGATCCCTTAAAGCGCCAAACCAGTATTTAGTAAAAGTAGAGTTTATTAGTTCACAACAAAAGAGTCCAAAAGCAACCAAAAGAAGCTCAAAACACTTATTCTTCAGTGTGAGACACAGTATTACCCACAGTTAAACCAAAAAACAAGACCTGGAAAATAACTCGGATTAAACCAGAATATAATCCGGTTTAAATTTAAAACTATGCAATCAGCAGGAAAAAAAGCACTCCAATCCGCAGCAGGACGTCAGTGAGCACGAAGGGTCGAACAGAAAGGCTGGAGTTGTCTACCAAAGTCAGTCCAAAGTGACGTAGTGTGATTTCAGCTCTGCTAAAATTGGGGGTTCGGGGCCAGAGTATCAAGCTTCCAGAAGGCCAGATAAGATAAGATTTTGAAGTCAAAATCAGAGGCTTTATTCTTAAGGGCCAGAGAGAATGTCAGTGGAGGAAGCACTCCAAGAACTGACATATTTGCAACAGAAAGTACATGGGTTTATTTATAGTACACTTCACAGAAAGACAGAGCACTACAGAACAATTGGAAATTGCTGTGTCAGTTCCTCATTGGTCTTGGAGGGTGCTGGATAGGATTCATAGCCCCATTGGAGGAGGAGCTAATCAGAGGTGAAACAGGACATTTCGTAAACTATCATTTGTGGATTTGAAGCCTTGGGTCTGTGTGAGTCCTTCCCAAAACTGGAGGTGTCTGGATGGAATGCAGTTTGATGGGTAGTTGAGAGTCCTGATACTCCAATGCCCGCTAGACAAAAGAGGTGCTGGCTGATGGACAAAAGGTGATTAAAGTTTAGTTGCATAAAATGGAGAATTCACAGAGGAGTTCTGGATAAGTACTATAGATGAGGGAACATTCCCAAGAAATTTTTTTAGATAAAATCAGATAAAGGTGGAAAACTCATAGTGCCTCTTTATTATGTGTCCTGGGATTATGAGAGGATTGTGATAATTATGAAGCTATATCCCAAGGTTACAGATAATAATTTGTAATTTTGAGGTTTACTTTTCAATAACAGTACCACAAACTATTGTTTTATGTCATTTTCTATTATGAGGTTTAACCTAGGTCCAAGCTATTTGGCTGACCGCATCCCCTTGTACAAACCCGCCCAGGTCCCACCTCCATCTCAAGCTCGTTTGGTGGGAACAAGAGAGCAGACCTTCTTGGTGGCTGCCCCTCAACTCTGGAACTCTGAGCCCATCTAGACAATACCTTTATCCCAGGATCTCCCAGTTCATAATGGAGGGTGTCCAAACGACACCTCCAGTAAAAGAGGATTAATTTGAGACAAAGGAGGGAAACCCTGCTTTATCCTGAATTAATTAGATAGCCCATTAGACCTGCACCTTTGTAAAAGTCCTGGGGCTGGTGGGCTATGGCCCTGTGTATACAGGCCCATGGGGAGTCCTGGGACTTCCCTGCAGCCTGGCCATACACCCATCTTGCACCTTCTCGTCCCCCCCCCCCCCCCCCCCCAGAAGAGGGAGGCATTCACAGTGACAGGACAAGGGAGGAGCTTGCGTGGTGAGAAGAGGGAGGCAAGAGGAGCTCATGCAGCGAGAAGAGGACGCTGCCGCTGCCGCCGTACACACCCTTACCATTACTCAAGAGCAGCAGGCCGGGATTGCCAGGGCAATGGTGGCTACTCCTTGGCTCCCCCGACGTGGTATGATGAAGTATGATGGGCTTTTTTCTTTATTTTTATTTTTACTTTATATTTAAAATGTCTTTCAGGTGAATTTTAATAGAATTATTTAGTTATTGTTTTTTTTTAAAAAAATCCTTGTATTATATATTATTTTAGTTGAATCTGGAGGGTTGTCTCTCTTTTTTGGGGAGAGGGGGTCCTTTTCCTTGCCTTTTAATGCACCCCCGATCCCTTCTTCCATTTAAAGTTTCCTCTTGAAAGAGGAGGAGGAGAAAGGAAACTTCAGTGTGGATTAGGAGCAGACCGTGGAAAGTTGGGTTGCTGTGTGGAGAGATGAGGTTCCTGGTGGTAAGGCGTGAGGCTTTTTTCAGGCCCACGCCTTCCCACTGAGACCCTAACTCGAGTATAAGCCGAGGGGGCCTTTTTCAGCCTAAAAAGGTGGCTGAAAAACTCGGTTTATAGTCGAGTATATACGGTATTTTGTAGAAATACATTTTAATATGTGTATTTTATATAATGTTTATGATCAGGCATGTAGCGGGGGGGGGGGGGCTTGAGGGGCTTCAGCCCACCCCCCACCCCCGAAATTCTCATGGTGGTTCGCAAAAAGGCCTTACTGGTGCATTATTTAAACTGTTATGTTTATTCATATCATGATCTGATCACCATACTCAATATATCCCATATGCATGTGGGTATTGGGGTAACGATACAAAAGTTTTGCTAGGGTAGACCCTCTTTCACTCAGACTCAGCCCCCCCCCCCCGAAACAAACTCCGCCCCCCCCCCCCCCCCGGAATTGAAATCCTGGCTACGGGCCTGTTTATGATTATGTGTTTTTAGCTATGTTGTAACTTGCCTTGAGCCACGAGGAGAGGCAAGTAAGAAATACATATTATTATTTTATTATTATTACTATTCTTATTAAAAATAATAAATGGTGCCATAAATAAACTGTAACTCAAATTAAACACATATATTCAAGATGTAAGCATATACATGGCTAGCAATATCAACATTCAAAAACCATAACTATGTTAAGAAAACTATGGTAGTAACATCAAAATGCAAAACCTAAATCCTTATTAGCAGCAATGTACTAAAGAGGTATTCCTACTGTGGTATTTTAGTATCAAGTGCCAGATTTTCCAAACTGAAAATGTTCCTCATTCCAATTTGCACATTGTAGTTAGTTATTATCAACCTGTCCCATACCTTTATCCACATATTTAACAATTTTCTGCTAGTTGTGTATCTTAGAGGCCAAGTTCTGAAATCTAGCCATCTGCAGTTAAGAAATCAGAGTAAGCTTACAACTCCTAAGATCTCCAACCACAATATTCTGTTTTCATCAGGCCAGGATTACCTTCAAACTGTACAACATACGTCAAGCTAGCAGGATTGACTTGAACAATAATCCAGTATAAGAAGTTTACATTTCATCTTAGTCTTAGTTCACAAAATCCACACTTAGTTATGCAAAACTTCCTTTATCTAAGAAACATAGTTTAGGACAAGATGTATATATTGTTTTTGTCACTGTGTGACTAGAAATGTAGGAATAAGCAAGCCTTGTCTCTAGTAGGGTTAACCTAGAAATCTGGTAGTAGATTCTGGGACAGAGCATCTTTAAATCTATACGTTGACTTCCACATTTATGACTTTAACTTTTGTGGATTTGATTATTTGCCGATTTGATTAATATAGTCTCTTCAATGGAAATTGGCCATGCAGTTGCAGTAGATGACCTAGAGATTCCTAGGGTGATGCTCCCTCAGGTTAAAAAATAGTCTTCTTATTTTGCAGGTTTTTTTCACTATTGTGGACGGTTCTGTGTCCCTCATGTCAAGGAATGTGCAGGGCTGACTGTACCTTCTTTAATGATCATCATTTATAACAACCTCTTCACATGGGCAGCTGGAATCTCTATGCATTGTGG